TTCCTGCACCGCATAGGGAGGAAAATTGAAGTCAGAGCAGTGGCAACTACATGGAACAAAACATAATTTCGATTCCATTGACAGGTCAAACCCAATCCAGCTCAATCTCTGTAAACTCACCGGCATGGCTGCAGTTTTCAGAGGTAAATCGCCAGAATACATGAAAGAAATCAGCTTCTCTAAGGTAGGGCCGTCTGTATCCTGTATGTGAACGGCGCTCTTCTTCTCTTCTTGCAACCTACTGCTGAACATTTTTGCGAAAACTGGTGACCTACACGGGTACCAAATGTAACAATCACGGCCCTTATAACAACGGGCAACCGTGTGTTAAATATAAATCACCCTTGACAACATTTATAAAATCAAGATAAAAGGCTTCCAAGATCAACTAATCCCACCAAGGGGTAATTTAGCTTCGATAGTACTCCTCAAGCTTGAGAGGAGAAAGGGAGCTTGAAAAAGGTTGATGAAGCTTTAATAAGTAGGTAGGAGCTTCTTGTAGAGCTTGTCCTTGAAAAATCACATGTCTAGTTGTGTAGGGGAGCTTATTAGGAGAACCCAAAAGACTTAGAGTAAAAATCCCATTTCCAAGTTAGATTGTTGGAGTTGGGAAGTGGGAATGAGCTTGAGAGCTCCAACCCCTTCCACCATACCCCTTGGGGCTTTTCCCAACCATGGCTTCCATGGTTGGGGAGCTAATAGGCTTGGAGCCTAAGTGGCAATTTAGTTTGGTTGGGAAAAACCCAACTTAGCACAATTGTATGGTTGTTTTAAGTTTGTGTGGATTGTAACAACAACTGGCACAACTTGATTGGTTGGAAATCCAACCTTTCCAATCTTCACTTTGATGGGTTGGAAGTTTCCAAACCTCAAGGTTGAGGGTTGGGAAAACCAAACCAATGTTCTTCTCCAACTCAATCTTCCCGATTGCCTTCACGTCATTTCTCATCGAGGAAGTCTCTCGATGTTGACTTAGGAAGTTAGCGGTAGATGAGGCAGAGTAGGTTATGCGTTACACTCCTCCCCCCCTAGGTGGCAACGTCCCCGTTGCCTCAGGGTGCTTCTGAGGACGAGCGCTTCGAGTACGCCGTGTCACATTACGACCAGGGTCAACGCCCTCCACTGGTTGTGCGGCAGCTCGTCGAGCCAGGTCTGTCGTGTATGACTGAACTGCAGTTTCAGTCAGATGCTCTTCTGGCTCCCATGAGTTGTGTTCAGGCCCATAGCCTTTCCACTTGATGAGGAACTCTCGTACTGTCTTTCGGCCGCGTTGTCGATCACGATGCATTAGCACTCGTTCGACTTCATAAAACAGTTCCTCCCCCAGGACGATCGTTGGTGGCAGTAAGTACTTGCCCTCTGCAACGTACTTGTTCAACAAAGACACATGGAAGACGTTGTGAATCTGTAAAGTGTCAGGTAGCTTAAGCTTGTAAGCTACCACACCAACACGCTTGATCACCTCGAAGGGCCCAATCCATCGAGGGAACAACTTTCTTGCTCCAGGGATTTTGAGACGAATGTTCTTCGTGCTTAACAAAACTTTGTCTCCAACCTCAAACGAGACTTCCCGGCGTTTCATGTCGGCGTAAGACTTTTGTCGCTGTTGAGAGAGTTGTAGCCAATGGCGAGCAGACTTAAGCGCTTCTTGCTGCTTGCCAACAAAGTCTTTAGCGGTTGGAATTTTCAATCCGCCGATCCCATGCGTAGCAGGCGTTGTGGGATGCCGACCATAGTTCAGAATGAAAGGTTTCTCACGTGTACCTTCATGAACTGAATTGTTCACTGCGAATTTAACGACAGGCAACAACTCGTCCCAATCATCCTGAGTTGGGCCAATGAATGAACGAAGCATCTGCTCAAGTGTCCGGTTTGTTCGTTCCGTCTGCCCATCGGTTTGTGGGTGGAACGCCGATGACAACTTAAGCTTCGTTCCTAGTGTCCGTGTGACTTCTTGCCAGAACCGGCTTGTGAAGCACGGATCCCGGTCGGACACCAATACACGTGGTAACCCGTGTAAGCGGAAAACGTGTGCCACAAACAATTTGGCCGTATCTTCCGCGGATACGTCAGTTGTAGTAGCCACGAAATGCACCATTTTTGTCAGACGATCCACAAACACTAGGATCGCTGTATGGCCATCACGAGTCTTAGGAAGGTCCGTGATAAAATCCAAGGATACACTCTCCCAAGGTTCATTCGGGATCTCGAGTGGTTGAAGCAAACCACCGGCTTCTTTATGTCCGTTTTATTTCGTGCGCATGCGTCGCAGTGCGCCACGTATTGCTGGACCTCAGTGCCCGATCCCGGCCACAAGTATACATCACTCAAGGCCCACCTGGTCTTTTTGACCCCTAGGTGCCCTCCGTACTTAGTGGCATGCACTTCTTCCAGAATATCGTTCCGCAGGCTACCTACGTGAGGTACAGCGATCCCCTTCTTACGCCACCAGAGCTCATGCTCCCACTTGAGTTCCTTAGTGTTTCGTGGGTCCTGAAACCAGGAGTCAATTTGATACCCTGTGCGGATGCGTTTCAGGAAACCACTGAAGGTAATCTCACTCACTCGAGCCATTGCTAGGACACTGAAGCAAGTAGAAAATACTGCCGCATTCTCTGTGTCGTCTAGACGTGTTGCTGCCCCTATCGGCTGTCTGCTGAGGGGGTCAGCCAGGTTCGTCGAACCCGCTCGATATCGAATATCGAAGGTGAACCCACTAAGGAGTTCCGCCCATCGGGCTTGACGTCGAGTAAGCGTGGCTTGGGTGGAGAAGTAGGTGTTTGGACAGTGATCAGTCGTAACCACAAAGTCCACACCCTCTAGATAACATCGCCATGTTCGTAGCGCATGAACGACCGCCAACAGTTCTTGTTCGGACGTCGTATAGCGCTGCTCTGCCGGGGAGAGCTTTCGACTCTCAAATGCCACTGGTCTCCCTTCTTGCAAGAGGACCGCCCCAATCCCAATCAATGAAGCGTCAGTAACAACCTCATAGGGCTTTGTCGGATCTGGTAAAACCAGAACCGGAGCATTGGTCAGCAATCGCTTGACCTTGTCGAATGCCTTTTGGCATTGTTGTGTCCATTGCCAAGCACTACTTTTGCGAGTGAGGGCCGTCAATGGGGCAACAACGGTAGAATAATTCTGCAAGAATCGACGAAAATAGTTCGCCAGTCCCAAAAACGACCTGATTTGACCCACATCTTGTGGTACCGGCCAGTTCTGGACTGCGACAACTTTCTTTGGGTCTACTTTAAAACCATCATTTCCCACGAGATGGCCAAGATATTCCAACTCGCGTTTGTAGAAATGACACTTCCACAGACGAGCGTAAAACTTATGCTCTCGAAGTTTCCCTAACACCCACTTAAGGTGTCGCGTGTGCTCCTCTTCCGTCCTGGAGTAAACCAAGATGTCATCCAGATAGACTAAAACGAACTGTCCAATCGCCTCGCGAAAGACTTCATTCATAGCTCTCTGAAAAGATGCAGGAGCATTGGTCAAGCCAAAGCTCAGCACTCGCCACTGAAAATGACCAAACGGCGATCGGAAAGCCGTCTTGGGTACATCTTCTTCGGTGATGCGCAATTGGTGATACCCCTGCGCGAGGTCCAATGCGCTGAACCACTGGGCACCCTGGAGTTTGTCGAACAGGTCCTCTATTCTCGGTAGGGGATACCTATTCTTCACCGTTATCTTGTTCAAAGCACGGTAGTCTACGCACATGCGTAACCCTCCGCCCTTTTTGTTCACGAACAAGATCGGCGCTCCGTAAGGTGATGCGCTTGGTTCAATCCATCCCTTCCTGAGATACTCCTCGATTTGCTGTTTAGCCTCCTCGTACTCAGCTGGACTGAGGCGATATAGAGGTCTAAAAGGTGGGAGTTTTCCAGGCTCCACTGGGATGGTGTGACCGACAGCACGGTCCCGAGGAAGGCCATCTGGGATGGGCTCAAAAACCTCTGCAAACTTGTCCGCCAGTGCTTTCATCTGAGGCGGGAAATTCTCGACCCCAGGCTTCTCGTGTTGAGCATTCTCAAGCTGTACCACAAAGAAGGTATCGGCTTGTCGAACATGCTATCCGAACTCGTTTGCGAGCGCAAAACTCACATCGGGACGCTTCGACGTTTGCTGCTCGTTCGTGATCAAGTCCTTAGGCACTTTCCATTGGACTGTGTCACCATTCTTTAAGATTGAGACAGTATTGTCCTGGAAATCGAGCTTGACATCATTCGCTCGAAGCCAATCCATTCCAAGGACAAGGTCGACACCTGCGAGAAGGGGTAAAACATACGCGCGGATCTCTTCGTGATAACCCTCGATCTCCATGTTGATCCGTGTCTGCCCTTTGCTTGGGATGATGCTATCGTCACCAAGGCGAATGGGACAAGACGGTCCTTCAACTAGGATCGTGCGTGCTGTGACCCACTTTTCGTCAAAGAGGGAAACAGTTGCACCCGTGTCAACAAGGATTTTTGCATTATCCCTGTTCATGCTACCCGCAAGCAACAAATTTTGTTGATGCTTTGGGCGAATAGGACATGCCACAATACTCGTCGAAGGTTTGAAGTACACCTTGACGTTGTGACGAGCGCGTCCATGTGACTGAGATTTGGTCCAGCACACATGGTGTCCCTTGTCCCACGCCGCTAGGACCGGCCATCCACGAAGCACATGGAACAATTCGCCTTTCACTGTGCGAGTCACCAACGCAACCGAAGTCAGGGGGTGCTCTTGAGTGCAACGACTCACAATCTCAATGATAGAACGCAGAATGTCCAAACCACAGAAAATAATTGAAAATTTATCTTGCATTGCTTCCATGGAAATTTTCTCAAGTGGGTACGATCGAGGATAAAAAACAGATTTTTTATTAAAAGAAGAGGCAAACAAACAAGAGATTTTGCAATCAGCAAGTTTCTCTAGCTTTAATATATCATCATCACATAGCACATATGCCTCATCCACTCGATCTACTCCTCCAACTAGGTACCCACACCCTAGTTGGGCTTCTGAAAATCATTTTTTCCAGAAGGTCCAGCTCCGCCTGGCTTAGGCTTCCCAGAATACTTGATAGCATTCTTATCACGGCATTGCTTTATGACGTGCCCCATCCTTCCACAGCCTCTGCACTGCTTGTCGGAGAAGTCCGGCTTGTTAGGTCCATGACCTCCCCCTCCGTTAGGCCTCTTGGCCTGTGGGCCAGGCTGGTGATCACGCTGCTGGAAAGGCCTTTTGTTCCAACCGCTTCCACCCTTCGCATTCTGGGGCCGGTTCCCATGACCACCAGAGCCCTCAGCACGGGGCTGCAGGCTTGTCTTTTCGGGGCCAAAAATGTACGTGCGAATGATGTTGTCGGTTTTGATCACCTGCTCCTTCATCTCCTTGTAAGTCGACCAATTGGTCATGCCGCCGGTCATGTGTGCCTGCTGCAGGTTGACAGGGAGGCCCTTCATGAAGATGTGCATCATCTCCTCCTCAGCCAAGGGCTTTTGGAGCAAGCGTGCTGCGGCCTCAAACTCGACCGCATATTCCTGCACCGAACGGTCATGACACTTGATACGCTCAAGGCGTCCGCGCAGTTCCAGGTCGGACTTTTTGACCATGAATGCCTCTTTCAGCGCGGTGCAGAACTCCGGCCATTCAAACGGTCCCTGTGCCTGCTTCTTAGCACCATACACGGCCCTGCGGGCCACCTCGTCCAATGCACGAGTAGCTGCAGTGACGCGAGCCTCGGGGCGCACATTTGCAAGGATCATGGTGGAATCCACCAGGTCGAGCCAAGGCTGCACCTCCGTCTTGTTATGGTTAAATTCAGGCAGAGGCGCCGCGAGAGACCCAAAGGGCGAGGTCTCAGTTGGAGGTGGCTGATGCATAGCCGTCGCAGCACCTACCGCCGGGGGTGCGGGCGGAGCGGATGTCGGCTGAGCAGCAGGAGCGGATCTACGCCCAGGAGGAGGTTCGTAAATACCCTCCCTCCTAAGATGTGTCAACTGCTCATTGAACTTGTTGAACGATGCTTGCAGATTCTTGCAAGTCTTCAGAAGCCACTCAATTTGGCGTTTTTTAGTGCCCAGGCTGCGACGGAACTCTGTAACCTCCTTCATGGTAATGCTTATTCTAGCCTCGAGGTTCTGAGTGTGCTTCTTGAGTCCATCAATGGACGTCTGCTGCTGCAGGATGGTGATATTCTGAGTTGCCACCGTAGCCTGGAGTTGGACAATCTCCTCGGAGATAGGATAAGTCGTGCCTTCACCCTCAGTGAAGTCATTTTCATCACCTGTGGCCTCCTTTCCACCGGTGTTATCCTCTTCCCCAAGGTTGTCAGTGCCACCATGGTTCTCAGCTTCACCATGGTGCTCAACTTCATCATGGTTCTCAGCTTCACCATGGTTATGCTCATCTCCAAGGTCCAGGTCCAAGTCCTCAATATCATCCAACTCAATGTCAGCCATTGCCTCATCTTGATTGAGGTCAATCTCAGCAGCATTGTTCACCACCTCATTAGGTGCAGTGGGCCCTTCCTCCCTTGCCATATCCTTCTCTTGGCCAGATGCCATAAGGATTAAGGGAGCTTGTAAGATCTGGGTTGATTCTGTTAAAGTCTTTTTACCACCTCAATGGTAAAACAAGAAATTATTATAAAAGAAATTTCTTCTACAGAATAATCCAAGTTACCCAAGGTAACAGATTTGTTGTCAAGCACTCCCAATCACCTAAGTGAAAGGACAGGGCCTATCCAAATCTCAATGAAGAGAATTTGTATAACCCTCAACAAATCCTCTAGATCCAAGTTTATACTCCACTACTCAACAGTAGAGAGTCTTCCACCAAAAGGTGGGCAAGAGAGATAAATCTCTCTTCTTAGCTTGAAATTGCAGTTGTAGATCTTGTAGATCTTGAACTCTTCAAGCTTCCAGATCTTGAGTGTTCTCTTAAATAGAAACCACAACTCCAAGATCTATAAAAAAAAAAAGAATCTCTAAGGGCAAAATCCCCATTAGGCTTAGGATAACCCTAGCTCTAGATACCAATATAACAATCACGGCCCTTATAACAACGGGCAACCGTGTGTTAAATATAAATCACCCTTGACAACATTTATAAAATCAAGATACAAGGCTTTCAAGATCAACTAATCCCACCAAGGGGTAATTTAGCTTCGATAGTACTCCTCAAGCTTGAGAGGAGAAAGGGAGCTTGAAAAAGGTTGATGAAGCTTTAATAAGTAGGTAGGAGCTTCTTGTAGAGCTTGTCCTTGAAAAATCACATGTCTAGTTGTGTAGGGGAGCTTATTAGGAGAACCCAAAAGACTTAGAGTAAAAATCCCATTTCCAAGTTAGATTGTTGGAGTTGGGAAGTGGGAATGAGCTTGAGAGCTCCAACCCCTTCCACCATACCCCTTGGGGCTTTTCCCAACCATGGCTTCCATGGTTGGGGAGCTAATAGGCTTGGAGCCTAAGTGGCAATTTAGTTTGGTTGGGAAAAACCCAACTTAGCACAATTGTATGGTTGTTTTAAGTTTGTGTGGATTGTAACAACAACTGGCACAACTTGATTGGTTGGAAATCCAACCTTTCCAATCTTCACTTTGATGGGTTGGAAGTTTCCAAACCTCAAGGTTGAGGGTTGGGAAAACCAAACCAATGTTCTTCTCCAACTCAATCTTCCCGATTGCCTTCACGTCATTTCTCATCGAGGAAGTCTCTCGATGTTGACTTAGGAAGTTAGCGGTAGATGAGGCAGAGTAGGTTATGCGTTACACCAAACGCAAACATCCCAAATATTTGGGTTCGCAAAAGCCAACCCCCAGGTTTCCCCCAGGCTACCCCGCTGTGAGTAACCCAGGGAGTTCCTGTGGCAACCTCGGCGCAAAATCACAACTGTTGTGACAGCTCATACAGAGGAGGGTACCAGGAGGACGAGCAAGTAACGTTATCCCTCAGGACGAGAATTCACTAACATACCATGTTGCTAGAATGCAGCGATGAGCTTCAATAGCTTCTCCTTCGCGTGGTCGCAGTGTTACGTCGCAAAATGCCGCGCCTCGCATTTCCTCGACTTTCCGAACGAAGTATTTGAGCTTGACTAGTTTCGCTTCGGCTTCTTTCACTCGGAGCTCAGATTGCGCGACTTTGTCAAGCAAGTCCTTCCGCGCTGCTTGACAGGAACTGCAAACATTGTTGATGCAATCCCTGTGCTGGTAGCAAAATTTGCATGTGGCATATGGCATGATAGCATATGCCAGAGCATATGCTTAGGGGAAATGACAGTAGTACGCACCAGAGCAGCAAGTGTCTCATGTCACTGGTCCGCCCCGACATGTCACTGTTTAGGGGAAATGAAAGTAGTACGCACCAGAGCAGCATAACCAAACTTGCTAAGTGCAATTGGACTTCCAAAAATCGATCAGGCATGTCGTCGAGTTTCCCAGTAACCGAGTATACTTTTTTGCGAAACAAATCGACCGTGTCTTCATTGCCACAAGCCACCTCGTGCAGCTGTGCGCATTATTCGCCACGCCGTCGCACTAAGAGCACAACTACCTGCCCAAGAAGCGCAGCGACACAGGCGGGCGACTTGCGAGCTACTGCGACGGTGGTGGCGTTTGTGTGGCGAGTTTTGCGACACAGCTCTGCTCGTTATTGTTGCAACGCGATTCAATGAGTTAACTCGGAAAGAAGTTGAGGTGTGATTTTGGCCTTCTATACATGTTATGTGGAACGCTCAACCACTAGAAATTGCAGACAATTCCATTGGCATATTGACTCTAGATCAAGATTTTCTTACAGATTTTACCTTTCGCCAGTTCTTTTCCCAAATATGTCATGAGCATCGGTATGAGAGCAGGCCCTCAGATATCAGGAAAAAAAACCCTGCAATTCCTGATTTTCAGGGTAATTTTTTGTACCTACACTGATTTTTCAGTGTTCAGATTTTAGAGGGACTGATATTTCAGCCTTTTTTTCTATAAGAGGACAAATTCTTCAGCTTTTTATCGAAGTGTACACTGAATGCACATTCCGAATCCCTGCTGTGAACACCCGAGATTACTAGTTGTGAGCCATTTCTTCGACATCAATCAGACATTATACTTGAAAATCCAGAAGACAATAGCTTAGACTGTCTCAGTTGTTAGCAGAGCCTCAGATATCAGGAAAAAAACCCTGAAATTCCTGATTTTGGCAGTCCTTTTTTTATCTACCTTGAAAAGTCAGTGTTGAGATTTTTGAGGGACTGATCTTTCGGCCTTTTTTTTTAGGCCACACTGAAATTTCAGACATTTCCCCCTAGAACACTGGTGCCACAACGTTGTAACGAAACCAACACTGACATGTGCCATGTGGATTTGACCACAATTACAGGGAATCTCAGATTTCCGAGGTGTAAGCACCCCGTGGCGAGGCCAACCTGTGAAATTCTGCCTCTGGTTCATGTTCAGAGGTGTTTTGTTGGCGCAGCGCCTCACACCATTGGGCCGTTTCTGTTGGAATAAATGAAAGGTTACATAAAGCATTCCCAAAGCTGTTCCACTGTACCAGTACCGCAATAGCTCATATAGAGCATGCGGAATGTCGAGGGTCACCCGAAGGTCAACCGTCTGAGGAAATCAACGGTCGTGACCCTTGACAATCTAGTAACCGCGTGACAGTTAATTCACTGCAACATGGTAACTATCGAGGATAGCAATAGTCACGGTTACTGTAGCTATGCAATACAGTTAATAAGGGAATGTACCCCTCAGAGTACATGGCTAGCTAGATTTCTATTTAATCTCTTGTACTCCTATCTTTCAATCATCTTGTTCTCTTTCAATCATTTTTCAACAAGGTCACTACAGAGACTTCATTGTCTCCTCTCAGATTTAACAGATTCTATCCTATCCACTGGATCCTTGGTTATATCAGCATGGTATGAGAGCCAGAGTGGATTATACGATATGTCAAGTCCTCGTTCTTCTCATAACAATCCCTTCATAAAGTTATTTATTACACCTCAAAGTCTGCAATACTATGGCTCCTGAAGGAAAAGTTACTGCAGACTCACCGGGCCCACCACCAGCAACGACTAACGCGCCATCAGCGGTGACCTCCGTCAGCGCCGCTGTCGTTGAGGAGCTAGTCGCACGCATCAACGCCCTTGAAAGCCATCAAGCAATGAGCGTTGACGGCTCAAGCTATGCACGTGGCGTTGCTGGACTTCCTCTCCCTGGAGAAGACCGCCACGTCAACTCCGAGAGATCCTTCACCTTTGACAATCGTCAAGGGTCAGCTCCTGCACAAAACAACCCACAGCGCTCACAGTCAGACATTGCCTCAATGCAAACCAAATTTGTATTGACTTCAAAATTGAAGACCTGAATTCATTTCGACGGAAAGGATTTCTACACGTGGAGTTTCGAATTCGAGCTTCTCACGACAACCGCTCAAATCTGGATGTACTACGACGGAAGCCTACCTTTTCCCTTGGAAGGTACCATCCAGGAGAAGCATCAATACTAACACGAATCCCTCCTCGCGTACACTGCTCTCCTTCGCAATCTCTCACCTGAAGAGCAGCTCGGCATTCGCCCTTATAAGACGGAGTGGGCTCCCGCGCAAGCCTCCTGGGAACACCTGCACAACTCATACATGACAACAGATCCAGTTACAATGATCCGTCTACTCAGCCAACTGACTTCATTTAAAATAAAGCAAGGGGAGAAAGCGGGACCGTATGTCAACCGGTGCCGCAATATGCGTGACCAAGTCAAGAAATGCGGTGGGACTATCCCCGACGACATGTTCATCTCGATGGTCATCTCTGGCCTCGGCCCCGACTGGCGACAATGCCAGTCAACTCTTCGCGCCCGAGCAACCATATCAGAGTCACCTCTGTGCGCCACGCTTCTTTCGAAGCAGAAGGAAATCGACCTGTACAACGAGAAGAATGTTAAACGGGATAAATTAGTCTTTTACACAGGAGCGTCACAAGGGGAACAACGCGGAAAGAAGGGAGCTTTCTGCAAATACTGCAAGAAGTCTTGCCACTCTATCGACCAGTGCTACAAGCGTCAGGCCGCTGACGAGCGGCGCAACGCCTCCAACCAACAACCATCGACGCAGACAAAGCCCTCCGCCACTGTGTCGCCTCCTTCCGTTGCCAGCACTTCACAATCCCATGCACTCATCACGGCGAAGGACAAAGGAAAAGGGACAATCATAAGCTGCATGGCTCGACGCAACAGAGGGTCCCGTTACTGGGATCGAGTAACATTCACTCGCGACAATCCCATCAACCCCGTTGCGCCCAGTCCAGACAATGACCCAAAAGTTTTTACCTAGTCCTCTCGCCCCTCAGACATTCCTCCTGACTTCGAGCTCCCTCCCCCTACTCTGGAATCGCCGCCGAGCATTTCCGCAAACAGATATTTCGCCCTCTCACCGTACACCGGCGACCTTGATCGCATCGTCACACCCAAGATTGCCAACCTCGCCCGCCAGCGCTACGAGGATCTGGACACGTGGTACCTCGACAGTTGCTGCGGACAACACATGGTGGGATCGCCAAAGTTCATCAG